TAAAACTTTACACATGGGATATTAATGATATTGTCTGATGATTTCCACATTCCATTGGGTTACCTTTCTTTGAAATGGGCAAAAACATGGATTTCTTCCAATCAGCCAGGTAGTTGTTTTCAAAATTTCCTGGCATAGATGAATGAGTGTCTCCAGTGCTACCTCACTTTCCTAAAAGAATTCAATTTTTATTCCATCAATTCCTTGATTTTAGAAATGATGCTGGCGATCACATGATAGAATTCTGCAAGACCAACAATTTGTTCGTTTCAAATACCTTTTTTAAACAACATAAAAGGTGACTATATACATGGACCTCACCAGATGGAATATTGTTGTTGTTGTTGTTAGATGCCATCGAGTCGGTACCGACTCATAGCGACCTTATGCACAACAGACTGTAAACACTGCCCGATCCTGAGCCAACCTCACTACTGTTGCCACGCTTGAGTCCATCGATGCTGCCACTTAGCCAATCCATCTCGCTGGGGGTCTTCCTCTTTTTCTCTGACCCTCCACCTTACCAAACATGATGTCCTTCTGCAGCGACTGGTCCCGCCTGACAATATGTCCAAAGCATGAGAGACGAAGTTTGCTCATCTTGGCCTTCCTCCTTCAGTATCATTGGCTCTTGATCATATGCTACCTCTTGAAATGGTTGAACATTAACCATTTCCTTTTGGTACAGTGACTCTGTGTATTCCTTCCATCTTCTCTTGATGCTTTCTGCATCATTCAATAATTTGCCCAGAGAATCTTTCAATAACGAAAGTTGAGTCTTGAATTTTTTCTTCAGTTTCCCCAGCTTGAGAAATGCTGAGCATTTTTGGTTTTTGGTTTTCCTTTTTGGTTTTCTGATTCCAGATTTTTGCATATTTTGTTGTAATATTTGGCTCTATCTTCTCGAGCTTATCTTTGAAATTTTCTATTCATCTCTTGGACCTCCTCATTTCTTCCATTTGCTTTATCATCTCTATGCTGGAGAGCAAGTTTCAGTGTCTCTTCTGACATCCATTTTGAACTTTTTCTTCTTTCTTGTCTTTTCAATGACTTTTTGCTTTCTTCATGTATGATGTTCTTGATGTCATCCCACAAGTTTTCCGGTCTTCGCTCTCTAGTGTTTAATGTATCAAATCTGTTCTTCAGATGATCTCTAAATTCAGGTGGGATATATTCAAGGTCATATTTTGCCTCTCGTGGACTTGTTTTCATTTTCTTCAGCTTCAGTTAGAATTTGCATATGAGTAATTGACGGTCTGTTCCATAGTCTGGCCCCTGGCCTTGTTTTCACTGATAAGGTGGCGCTTTTCCATCATCTCTTTCAGAAATCAAATTGTCTACATCTGTAGAAGGAGATGGTGGAAAAGCCAAAACAAGGCCAGGGACAGACTGTGGGACAGACCATCAATTGCTCATATGCAAATTCAGACCAATGTATTAGTGACATTCATTAAATCTAAAGATTCCCTTTTGCCATAAAAGATGAACTAACCAAAGGAGCTTATCATATACACAGGCTCTACCTTCACTCAAGGAAAAAAGACCTTCTAAGGTTGAGAAGGATCACAGGGGCTTCTTTTAGAAATCTGTCTACCACAGGACAGGGAAAGCTTCCCTGAGGAATTGCTCTCTGAGTTGAGACCAGAAGAATGACAGGAGATAATGCAATAAGAAAGGAAAGGAAAAGCTTCCAGAAAAAGGTAACAACATGTGCAAAGACCACAAAGCTGAAGAAATTAAAGCAAATAGAAGGAACTGTAAGAAGTCCAGCATGTCTACAGTGGAAAGAATAAGGGCCACAGTGGCTTGAAGTAACAAGGCAAACCATGCAGACATTGTAGACCCTGTTTTAAAGATTGCTTGCAGAAGCGTGGAATAATCTGATATGTTTTCTGAAACATCACTCTGGCTATAAGGTAGAGGATGGATGTAAGAAGGCATCAGTAAAATGTAGTGGGCCACTTAGGCCAGGAGAGCAGTGCAAGAGTCTGGAATGCCAGTAAGGCATTATCAGTGGAGATAGAAGCAGACAGATTCAGGGACACTTAGTAGGTAAAATCAAGATGCATTGGCTATGAGAATAATGCAGTTGGATTACATAGGAAGCAGACTCTAAGACAGAGTAGTTTACTGAGAAGTGCTCTTGGAGTCAACACCTGTGCAAGAGAGGACAAAGATAGAATTGGACAAAGGAAGAATCTGAGCAGCGATTCAGTCCAACAACTCGATGAGGAGCCCCGGGGTTGTAAAGGTCTTTCTTTCAGAGTTGTCTTCCAACAAAGGCTGAAACTTTACACCTGTGCATTGATTCTACATTGGATGTAGGATGCCCTAGAAAGCCAACATACCTCAGAAAAGGTAACTTTCTTCAGCTTAAGTATGAAGCTATGAGTTAACCAAACTTAAGATGAGAATAAATCCTTCAGTTTTGAAGGGCTCTGGGCTTTGCATCACAGCCTTCACCGCAGGATGAAGAAGCATAAGGGAATAAGGCATCAGGGATGATTCCTACATTTCTGACTTGTGCAACTTTATGGATGCATTTATGACACATACTGAAATCATTTCCCCTACTAAATTGGGAGCTACTCAAGCACCAACGGTGTTGAACAGCCACTGTGCAGCCCTGGCACTAAGTTTGCTGAATAAGTGAATGCCTGTCCATAGCTCCTATTTCTACTCCTCCTTCCTCAACATTCTCTTTGCTCCTGCCCTCACCCCCTCCCTCTCTCCAATGTGGGAAAAGTCCAGCAGGTTATCTGAGGCCCCACCTGGACGGGCACTGAACAAACAGCAAATCAGGCTCTTCTGATGGGCAAGGCAGGCAGTGCTAGAAGGAGAGAAAAGGGGAGCAGTTAAGGACATTCCCACCCACCATAGGCTGAAACCCTCTTTCAGAGCTTCATCACTAGGGCAGCACTGGCTGGACTCAGTCCTTGATTTGCCCATAAACCCAGAACCTATGCTCAAGCTAATTTGTTCTTTGACTGATGCCCCTACCTCTTACAGCCACTGAAGGGGACCAAAGAAGGGAATTTCAGGTCATTTTGGAATTTTCTAGGATTAGAGGAGGGCTGAAATATTAGGGGTGGCAAACTGTGAGATAAGCACCGGACTGCAAGGTCCATTTGAATCACAAGGGTCAGCCTTTCAAACTTATCAGTCCTTTCTTGGAAACCCTGTGGGGGCGGGGGGAACTTTTTTTTGCCAATACTTATAACATCATTTTCTAACCATACAAAATTATCAACATAAAAATTAGCCTGAGTATTTGGTGAAACATTTACTCAACCCTAACCCCTGTGGGTTGGAGTCCTGGTGTGGTGCTGTGGGTTAATGCACTAAACTGCAAAGTCAGTTTGAACCTCAAGGTTGGCAGTTCAAGCTCACCAACCCGTCCTGGGAAACCCTGTACACAGGGTCGCTATGGGTGGAACCGACTCGACAGCACTTAACAACAACAACAACAACAACAACCCCTGTGGGTTAAAGCACTGGACCGCAAGGTCGATTTGAACCACAGGGTCGGCGGTTCAAACTCACCAGTCGCTCCTTGGCCACCCTATACAGGGTCGCTATGAGTTTGAAATGACTGGACGTATCAAACTCACCAGCAGCTCCTCGAAAACCCTATACGGGGTCTTGATGAGTCGGAACCTACTCGAGGCACTTGACAATAACAATGTGATGACTGGAATTGCGGTTGCTTTGGCAGGACTAGATCAAATGATTTCGCTGACCTTATAAGGCCCGCGGGTCGGACGTTCCCCACCACTTACAGGTCACTATGAGTCGGAACCGACTCAACCGCACTTAACAAATCCTACCCCAAGAAACTGAACCTATCTCAGTGCTGCGCACGCCCCTTTCTGCTGTGTTTCCGCTGCCCCTCGGTGACCCAGTCCCCTTCTGGATCCCTCTCTTGGGAACCTGGCACCTGTGTTGATAGCAAACAGGGAGCGTCGGCGTGTCGGATGGGAGTGGGCGCTGCCTGGAGACGGTGGAGAAAATCAGATTCCTCCTCCCCTTCTTTTCCCCGTCTGGGGTCGGGCGGGAACCCTACCCTAGCGCATCCGCGTTGACCCTGGAATTTCTCACTTCTATCCCTTGTTGTTGTTATTAAGAGTCGTCGAGTCGATTCCGACCCATAGCGACCCTATATAGGGTTTTCAAGGAGCAGCTGGTGAGCTTGAACCACCGACCCTGCAGTTCAACGACTTTGCAGTCTGACACATTAGCCCACAGCGCCACACCAGGACTTCTACCCACTGGTCACCCTCAAAGCCCAAGTCAGACTCACTGTCTTCAGCCAGCCCCTTCCCCACATCCCACCCCCGCCAGGATTTCTCTGGGGACAAATGCCCTCAACACCCACCCCCAACTCCATACTCAGCGCTCAACCCGCTGCTTTGGAGCTTTGTGTGGAAGCCTGGCTTTTGGCCTTACGTGGGGGGCAGATGCAACGACTACCCCAGTCCCGCCCGAGGACTTTCAGGACATTGGGGTGCAGGAGTGCTGCGGTCACCCACTGCGGCATCATAGTACCTTGGCCTCCGCGCCGCAGTGGGTGACCCCCACGCGCAATCCTAGTCTCAGATGCCACCTGGACGTCCCCTGCCCCGTCCGTAGAGATGCTGGACCCACCCTTCTACTCCGACATCCTCCTACCCCCCC